GGATGGACATTGCCCAAACCGGCGGGAAACGCGGCAAAACTGCAGCGCCCGCTGCCAAGCGAGCGGCCACCGAGGCCGGGGCCGTGGGACCCAGCGCAGACCCCCCCGGCTGCTCCTGCAGAAACCTGCAGCTGCAAATCCTCAAGCAACTTTCCCTTTATTTATTTATTTATAGTGTGCTATTAACGTCCTCTTGAGCTGAGGACTCCAGGAAATGAAATAATAGAAAAGGCCCCACTTCGAAATGCAGCCAGGCATTTATTTTGAGTAAGTGAAAAAGTAACATGAGCATTTAAAGAAAATATTGGCAGATAAATTGAGTTTTAAGGAAAACATAATTGGATATAATTTCTGCTTCATTCAGTTAGTTATTTATTCTTTTATTGACTTATTTTATTTATAATAAGAAGCTTAAGCTGAAATTTAATTTTGCTGATATAAATATATATTTTCATAGAACACTTGGCATTTAAAAACGTTATCTGAGATGCTACTGGCTTTGATAAAAGCACACAGCCTTCTGCAAAGATTTGTTTTAAATATTTCCAACATCAGCCAATATGAAGCTGCGGATATTATCGTCATTACCATAACAATTAGCATTATTCTAATTAATGGGCAGGGCTAATGGCGACGCAGCCACATGGAAAATGGGGCCTTTCTGCGCACTCGAGTCCTGCCAGGTTTTGCTGAGGGAGGCAGACGCGGAGCGGCCTGGGCGGGATGGGATGAGCGAGGCCTCCGGGATGGGATGAGCGATGCCCTCTGGAGCTGCTCCCGCTCTTTCCTTTGGGACTGGGAATCCAGGTAAAATAAATCCTGGCCGAGCCTGTCCTGCACCGCGCTGTGCCTCATGGCATCTCATCCCTGCATTTTCTTTACCTAAAGATTTCCACAAATTGGGTTTTATTTGCCCTGTTTACTTGCTTTCTCCTCTCATTTCCCTCAATTTTCACTGCAGAGGAAGGAGGAGACCCTTCAAACACGACAAAGAAAAGTAGATCCGAAACCCGCAGCCGGTTCCCTCAACAGGGGCAGGAAGACTCCAACCGGCTCCGTTTTCCGGGGCAAACTTCTGCTTTGGAATGGGGCATTTGGTTGTGGTGGGAAATGTGCCCAGGGTCCCTCAGCACGTGCAGCCAGCGCCAACCGCACGAGGTCCCCGCAGAGCCCCTGCTCCTGCCCTTGGCTTTTGGGAGTTTGGAGGGGTCTGTTTAGAAGCCAAGCGGAGGCCGGT